ATATCAGAACTCAGCAGTGAAGACATGAGCTTTATTTGTCCATTCAATACCAATTTATATGCCAGGCTCCATCCCAGTCAAGTTCCTGCTCCGGGTAATAAGAAATGCACCTGGGCAATACTGAAAGCCATGGGCATGAAGACAAAGGAAGTTGCAATTTGGGGTGGGGTGGGAGGGAAGGCTTCCCCAAGAATTGGGATTAGGATGAAGCCCAAAAGAAGTGATGAGGGACTGGGCAGAGGAAGGAGCAGTTGCCCAGGCCACAGGCCCTGCAGCAGGCATATGTGTCTGAGGAGTGGCAGGAGGCAGTTTTCTGGGCCCTGTGGTCCATCAATGGGAGGAGCCATATAGCTGGTGCTGGGCCTTGCAAACTTGTAGGAGTTTGGACTTGTACTTCATAAGGTAGAAGCCACTGAAGGGTTTAGTGGCCCTTCTGGCTGCTGTGGGAAGATGTAGGGGGGCAAACAGACTATTAGGGGATTCATGAATGATCCAGTCCAGAGTGGTGGCATCGGAGGTGGTTAGAAGAGGGCAGAATTGGATGTTCTCTGAAAGCCTATTTAAAAGATACTTCTGAGTCACCAACTGAGCAACAGAGGTCTGAGTGCTTGACAAGCAGCAGTTTGTTTACTCTTTGTAAATATCAGATAAGGCAGGTGACCTCCCCACTCATAGGCAAGTAGGTGGAGGTATCGATAGGTCAGGAGTTGGTGATAGAGGGGATCCCAGTACTGAAGGGTGGTTGCAGGAGGAGTGTGTGAGGAGATGGGGAAGCATGACACTTTCAGGGATTCTAGGCCCAGCAACTAGAGGAGAGGTAGCAGGACCAAGGAAGGGAGTTTCTGTGGGCTGTGCTGGGGGCCTTCTCGTGGGGATGAGCAGGGAGTTGGATAGATGGGAATCTAGTCTTGAGGTGGGATGTGGGCATCACAGTGGAGAGATGGCTAACCCCAGGACACAGAGTGAGAGAGGACACTGAGAGAGGGAGGAAGAGTGAGCCCCGAGGAATGACTGAGAGGCTGGAAGGGGCCAGAGTCCAGGAGAACGAATGTCACCTGGCTAAATGTGGTGAGTTGAGGGGGGGGGGGCATCAGAGAGAACCTGGAATTGATCCTAAGGGAAGCAACTAAATGAATTATTGGTTGGAACAGTGGTTTATTTTCCCTTCCCCTTCCCAGTAGGCAAAAAGGAATAAATAAAAAACCTCATCATCTAAACTTCAGAAGTGACTGCTAAGTCATATATAATTGAATCCTCAACAATTAAAATAGGGGGCTTGGGGCTGGGGTTATAGCTCAGAGGTAGAGCACTTGCCTCGCACATGTGAGGCACTGTGTTCATTCCTCAGCACCACATAAAAATAAAATAAAGATATTGTGTCCATCTTAAAAAAAATTAAATAGGGAGCTCTATGTGAATAAAGACTGATGACAGAAATTGGGTTAGGATTGTGGCTCAGTGGTAGAGCACTTGCCTAGCACGTGTGAGGCACTGGGTTTAATCCTCAGGACCACATGAAATAAATAAATAAAATGAAGGTATATCTATCTACAACTAAAAAAGATTTTTAAAAAGACTGATGATAGAAATTGTTCAAACAGGGCACAACAACTAAGAGATCAGAAAAGGCTTCACAGGGCCATGATTCAAAGGAAGGCTTTTCCCTGTATATGGACCAGCATATAAAAGTTATTAAGGGCCACATGCAATGGCGCACGCCTGTAATCTCAGGATCTCAGGAGGTTGAGGCAGCCTCAGCAACTTAATGAGGTCCTAAGAAACTTAGCAAGACCATCTTAAAAAATAAAAAAAATGGTTGTGGGGAGCTGGGGCTGGGGCTCAGCAGTAGAGCCGTTACAGTGTGAGGCACTGGGTTAAATCCTCAGCACCACATATAAATAAATGAACGAAATAAAGGTATTGTGTCCATTTACAACTAAACAAAATATTTTTTTTTAAAGGGATGGAGTTGTGGCTCAGGGGTAGAGTGCTTGCCTAGCACATGTGAGGCCCTGGGTTTGATTCTCAGCACCACATATAAGTAAGTAAATTAAATAAAGACACTATGGGGGCTGGGGATGTGGCTCAAGCGGTAGCGCGCTCGCCTGGCATGCGTGCGGCCCGGGTTCGATCCTCAGCACCACATACAAACAAAGATGTTGTGTCTGCCAAAAGCTAAAAAATAAATATCAAAAATTCTCTCTCTCTCACCTCTCTCTTTAAAAAAAAAAAAAGGCACTATGTCAACTACAAAAAAAAATTTTTTTAAAGGGTTAGGGAGGGCCTGGGGTTATGGCTCAGTGGTAGAGTGCTCGCCTAGCATGCACAAGGCACTGGGTTCGATCCTCAGCACCACATGAATGTAAAATAAAGATATTGTGTCCACCTAAAACTTAAGAATAAATATCTTTATTCAGTGATAGAGTACTTGCCTAGCATGTTGATGGGTTTCCAGCACTGCAACTAACAACAAAACAACAAAAATATCTATTTTTGGACAGGGTTGAGTATCCTTTGTCCAAAATGCTTGGAAACAGAAGCATTTCAGATTTCAAAGATTTTTTTATTTTGAAATATTTGCATAGACTTTACCAGTTGAGCACCCCTAATCCAAAAACTGGAAAAGGAAATGTGCTGACAATACTCAGAAAATTTTGGTTTTCAATGGCAGGTGTTGTGGCATGTCTATGGTCCCAACTACTGGGGAGAATCCTTGAGCTCATGAGTTGGAGACCAGCCTGGACAACATAGAGACCCCACCCCACCCCTACTATGCAAAAATAAGTAGAGATTAAGTTTTGGAACATTTTGGATTTGGAATTTTCAAATTACAGACTGCATAACCCATGTGTGATTTATGAAAAGACTAAAATGTAGTTCAATCTGAAAGTGAGAGAATGTCAACAGGCTGGAAGAGGGGGAAGGACTCAAGTACTAGAGAACTTTGTATGAGAATGGGAAAGGAGGGTTTGAATTTTATTTTAATTTTTTCAGTGTTGGGGATGGAATCCACTGAGCTATATCCCCAACTTCATTATCTTGTTATAGCACAGATTACTTAAATAGTTTTCTATTATTCTCAAAAATAACTAAGGTCTGTAAAAGAGGCATAGATTTTATAAATGTTCTTTCTGTTATTTAATAGATTTTTCCTCTGCTGTTACTGGGGATTGAATTCAGGGTTACTCTACCACTAAGCTACATTCCAAGCCCCCCCCACTTTTTAATTTTTTTTTTTAGTTGTTGTGGGACACATGCCTTTATTTTATTCATTTTTATGTGGTGCTGAGGATCAAACCCAGTGCCTCGCACATGCTAGGCAAGTGCACTACTGCTGAGCCACAACCCCAGCCCCCACTTTAAAAAAAATTTTTTTTTAGTTGTCAATGGGTCTTTATTTATTTATATGTGGTGCTGAGAATTGAACCCAGTGCCTCACAAATGCTAGGCAAATGCTGTACCACGGGGCTATAACCCCAGCCCCCAGCCCTTTTTTTATTTTGAGACAGGGTTCCATTAAGGTGCCTAGGCTGTCCTCAAACTTTTGATCTTCCTCCCTCAACTTCCTAAGTACCTGAGACTATAGCCACTGTGCCTGGCTGAGCAGACATTTATTGATTTCTTAGCTTATCCTGAAGGTCTCACAGGACTATATAATAAATATAAAAGTAAATATTAGACATTTAACAATGAAGACCACCATTGATTTACCCCACACACCCAAAGGGATTAAACCACTGAACTACATCCCCAGCCTGCCCCCCCTTTTTTTTGCAGGGTGTACTGGGGAATGAACTCAGGGGCACTCAGCCACTGATCTACATTCCCAGCCCTATTTTGTATTTTATTTAGACACAGGGTCTCACTGAGTTGCTTAGTGCCTCGAGAATGCTGATGTTGGCTTTGATCTTGTGATTCTGTCTCAGCCTCCCCAGCAGCTGGGATTACAGGCGTGCACCATTGTGTGTAGCCTCAGCCCCCTTTTAAAAAATTTGGGACATGTTCTCACTAAGTTGCTTTGGGCCTTGCTAAGTTGCTGAGGCTGACCTTGATTTTGTGATTCTCCTGCCTCAGCCTCCCAAGTTGCTGGATTACAGGTGTACACAACCATGTCCAGCCCACAGCTTCCTTTGAAGTAGGGAGATGAATAGATGTGTCTGACACCTGTGGAAGAACCCCTCAGCTATGGAATCCAGGTACTTGCTTACACACACTTGTAATACCAGCTACTTGGTAGGCTGAAGAATGAGGATTCCAAGTTTAAGGCCAGCCTAGGCAATTTAGCAAGACGGTGTCTTAAAATAAAAAATAAAAAGGGTTAAAATATAGCTCAGAGGCAGAGTACCTCTGGGTTTGATTCCCAGTACCATAAAAAAAAAAAATCTAGCACACCAATGTGCATTTTTGCACTCATGTGCTCTCTCTCTTTCTGTTGTGCTGAGGATGGAATATGGGGTAGTGCTAGGCAAGCATTGTGCCACTTATTTATAGCCCTTGTCCTAAAATTCTCCCAGCTTTTTAAATGTTTTGTTTGGTTTGAGACCTGGTCTCAGAAATTGGCTCAGGCTGGCCTCTAAGTTCTGGGCTCAGGTGATCCTCTCTTACCAGCTTCCTTAGTCGCTGGGACTATAGGCATGCCACCACCCTAACTGGCTGCTTTTCTATGGTTAAAAACATTTATAAAGTACTATTCATGAATGTTGGAGGGGGTATGCCCACAGGTACTAGGCTGCTTATAATCAGCTGTAATTCTGACTTCATTACACCTTTAGAAAATCTGTGCAGGATGGTCATTCAGACCACTCTCACTCCTGTTCTGTGCCTGAGAGCAACTGGTGTCCCAGAGAAATGCCCAGGAAGCGGGCCTTGCCATGAAGGGAGGAGGCAGCTCCTAACCAGAAATGTTCATGGAAAGGAGTATATTGAAACTGAGTCCTGAAAAAAAAAAAAAAAAAGAACAGAAATGGTCCAAAACAGACACAGGTGGGTGGGTGGGTGGAGGCAGATGATTCTGGCAGAGGGAGCAACATCCGGCATCACTGAAGCACAGAGGTTGGGAAAGCAACACTGCCACTGGGTTTGGGAGAGTTGGGGCTTCAGAACTAGCCCACTGGACTATGGTTGGGGTTTGTAGGTAGGGTGGGAGTAGGGTTCCCCACAGTTCCCCATGGATCTTTAAGTTACTAAGGTCAAGAGGCTTTCTGTTCCCTTGATTCCTGCCACCTGTGCCTCTTCCCGGCAGTCATGCAGCCCAAATTTCCCCAAGAGGCATAATTAGCAACAGGCTGAGATTTTAGGGTCCAGATGCAGGGTGGGGGTGAAATGGGAATGAGTGGGGAGGAAGCTGGACTTCACCCACATTTGGTAATCCCACCTGCCCATATAACTCCTCCCAAGCTGCAGAAAAGTAAACCCAGGGACCAAGGCAATGTCATTGTCTTTATGGCTAGATACTTCCAACTTTTCACTTGTAACTCATAAGGGGACAGGTGGCACCTCTGCTGCCACTGCCTAGATACCTCTCATGCTGAGCCTCAGTTTCTGCATCTGTAAAAAGGGGTCGAAATGCTTATCCAGTGATAGGATCTGGAGACCTGCTGAGACCACAGGAAGAGGACGTGCAGGCTGGAGTCCTGATAGAAGAGGTGATTATGTGGGATGCTAGAGGCAAACTGCCAATCTAAATATCACCATCCCGCAGTGCCTTTGTCAGCCTGCACCCTGAACTTTCTGGCAGGTGAAATTGGCCTCACAGGCTCTCAGTGCTATGGTCCCTGCCATCTCTATGGCCACAGCATGGAGTACCAGCACCCATGGCTGCCCTGGAAAGATGTGTCCTTTTTTTTTTTGTAGGTGGATATGATTATCTTTTTTAAAAATTATTTTTATGTGATGCTGAAGATCATACCCGGTGCCTCACATGTGCTAGGCAAGTACTCTGCCACTAAGCCATAACCCCAGTCTAGATGTGTCTTTTTTTTTTTTTCTTTTGGTGTGGGGGATTGAACCTAGGGCCTTGTGCATGAGAGGGAAGTACTCTACCAACTGAGCTATATCCCCAGCTCCCTGGATGTGTCTTTTTGAAACTACTAATGTCATGGTTAGCCTCTGGTGTGAAGCATCAGAGGTGGGCCTAACATCCTCCTGTTGGACTCAGACCTCCATGGCCATGCTAATATGGCCCCCAGTGCTCTCCTCAAAGCCACCATTAGGGGGTCCATGGAGTGATTGGGCCCTCCCGCTGTAAGACATGTGCATAGATCTCATTCCTTTCTGTATATGTGGAGTGGTAACCGCCCCCCCCACCTGAAAACTATGTGCACAGCTGGACTCCTTATAGACAGATACAACGGTGTAATGTGAATGGATTTATTTCCTAGGGCTGCTGTAATAAAACTCCACAAACAACAGACATTCATTGTCTCTCAGCTTTGGAAACTGGAGGTCCAGGACAAGGTGGCAGCTGGGTTGCACTCCCTTTGAAGGCTATTAGGGAGGCTCTGATCCAGGCCTCTCTCCCAGCTTCTGGTACATCCTTGGCTGCTATAGCAGACTCCAGTCTTAACACAGAACACTGTTTTGTGTGTGAGCCTGTGCCCAAGTTCTGTTTTATTATAAGCACTACAGTCACTTTGGATTAGAGCCCAGTCTAATGAACCCATCTTTTCTTCTTTTTGTGATGCTAGGATTGAACTCAGAGCCTCATGCATGCTGGGCAAGTATTTTACCACTGAACTACACCCCAGTTCTTTTTATTTTAGACAGAGTCACTAAATTGCTCAGGCTGTCCTTGAACTTAAGATACCCATGCCTCAGTGTCCTGAGTTGCTGGGATTACAAGTGTAAGCCTTCCCATTTTATCTTGATTATTTCTGGGAAGACCCCCCAATACAGTGGCATTCTGAGGTTTAAATCTTAGAGATTAAGATTTCAGAGTATAAAATTGTGATGGTGGTGGGTGGGGAGTGGTCGCTATGCTATAACACAAGTATATCATGGTAGCCATTAGAAAATAGAAATTTTAGGATGGGTGCAGTGACGCATCCCTGTAATCCTAGCGCTTCAGGAGGTTGAGGCAGGAGGATCGCAAGTTCAAAGCCCAGCCTCAGCAAGAGCGAGACACTACGCAACTGAGACCCTGTCTCTAAATAAAATTCAAAAAAATGCTGGGGATATGGCTCAGTGGTTGAGTGCCCCTGAGTTCAAACCTCTCCCCATCAATCAATCAATCAATAAAAAAGAATACAGATTTTATCTGGGTACAGAGGCATACATATGTAATCCCAGTGGTTTAGGAGGCTGAGTCAGAAGGATGCAAGTTTGAGGCCCACCTTGGTAACTTAAGAAGACCCTGTCTCAAAGTAAAAAATAAAAAGAGCTGAGGATGTAGCTCAGAGGTTGAACATTCCTGAGTTCAATCCCTAACACGCAAAACAGCTACACAATAAATTTTTAGCCAGACTTTGTGGTATATGCCTATAATCCCTTGCTATCTGGGAGGTTGAGTTAGGAGGATTGCAAATTGTGAGTAATTTAAGGAGACTGTCTCAAAATAAAAAGAGTTTGGGTGTAGGCAAGGGAGAAAGAAAGGAAGACATCATGTGCTTAGTGAGATACAGAATTTCCCTGACCTGATACAGCCTCCACCCTACCTTTGACTTCTAAGGGACTGATTCCAACTTAAGAGATTGCAAGATTAACCCATGTAAAGCCATACTTACCCCACACAAGTCAGCTGGTTGCTGCATTGTGTCACATTCATATGGGTACCATCGTAACTAGTAATTCTTTGCTAATAAGCTGAATATCTAGTAATTCTTTGCCATGTAACAGACTTCTTGCCGAAAATAAAACAATCCCCATAAGTTAGTTGTTTAAACAAGAGCCATATTATTCATAATTGAAATTGACCAAATAAAGGCAGATTTTAAAAATTTAGTCTCATGGGCTGGGGATGTGGCTCAAGCGGTAGAGTGCTCGCCTGGCATGCGTGCGGCCCGGGTTCAATCCTCAGCACCACATACAAATAAAGATGTTGCGTCCGCCGAAAACAAAAAAATAAATATTAAAAAATTCTCTCTCTAAAAAAAAAAAAAATTTAGTCTCACAATGAAATAGTTTCTTTCCCTTGTTTGTTTCTAGATCTTGCCCAGGAATCTTATAATGTTTATTTCAAAATAAATGTTAATAATATATTCTACTTTTTTTTTTTACCCTTTATTTTATTTTTATGTGGTGCTGAGGATTGAATCCAACGCCTCGCACGTGCTAGGTGAGTGCTCTACCGCTGAGCCACAACCCCATTCCATATTCTGCTTTTCACTAGATATCATCATAGCCCTATGTATGCCATGTAATATTCAAATGAATCCTTTTAAATCACAGTTGTTTCCTTTTTGATGGTGACTGTAACCACTTCAATGAACCATTAAATGCATAGAGCGTTTTTAACAATTTTTTTCTTTCTGGGATAAATTCTCAGGAGTGGAATCGTTGGGTTAAAAGATAGCGAACTTATTTATGGATCCTGAGATACATTTGCAGTCTTTTCCACAGGAGATTGATCAGTTGGCAGGTTTCATTTGCAATGTTGGGAAACAAATCTTGTTTCAAATTGCCGGGGCTAAAGGAGATTAGGTATTAGTCTTTTGTTAACCTTTCATTAGTATTTTATTAACTTTTTATTGATTGGATTGTTGTTTTGGATAATATTTTTATAGACGATGAAACAAGTGTGATCCTGCTTCACCTCTTGGTGATGCTGAGCTCGGGCGCCCCCTGCTGCCCATTATGACGCTGGCTGCAGGGCGGGTCCCCTAGGTCGCTGGAGTCGAGGCAGAGCTGGGGGAACCATGGCCGAGCCGCAGGAGCAGTTACTGCAGCTCCAGAAAGATAACCGAGATGGCCGCATGCGGAAGCAGGAGCTGGAGGAGTTGGTGCGCGGTCTCGAGGCCGAGAGCGAGAGCCTCACCGGGCGCCTACAGGAACTGCGCGAGCGCGAGCGCAGGTGCCCTGAGAGGGCTGCTTGAGCCGGCGGGCGGGCCCCTCCTGAGAGGCGGCGAGTTTCAAGAGTGGCTGATTTGCCCAGTCCGCACCTCCGCTCCAGTCGTCGGGCGGGGTTATTCACCCAGGGAGCCCGAAGGGAGGTTGAAGTCTGGCATGCCAGGGACTGGGCGAGGGCTTCTTTGACCTTGACCTTCAGCTGGTCACTTCTCCGTACGGTGGGGGCCGCAGAATCCTGAGCTCCCCAACCCCCCGCCGAAGCACCTGCCTCAGTTTCTCTCTGCAGTCTGCAACGGAGGCGGAGCCAGGCGGCCGGGGCTCTAAGAGGGGAAGCGCGCGAGGCGGCGCGAGAGCGTGCGGAGAGGACGCTTGAACTGCTGGAGGCGGCGGAGCGGCACAAATTGGACCTGGTTGGAGGGGTGCCCCAAGGAGCGGAGCCGGAGGGGCGGGGGCCAGAATGAGGCGGGGCTAAAGGAGAAACCTGGACTGCCCCCTCAACCCTTTTCATAGGAGCAACACAATCAACAGTTGCAGGAGCAGTGGGAGGAGCTGTCAAGTCAGGTATGTGCAGGGAATGGGTTGGCCTCCAGTCTTGGTTCTACTCGAATGTCCCGCTCTGGTACCTGCCGCTGTTGCCTCCCAGTCTCTGCCCCCCCAAAGTACCCCCGCCTCTAGAGGCCCCGTAAATCCCGCCCTCACAAGCCCCGCCCCCAGCTCTTTTACTACGGAGGGGAACAACGGAATCAGCAGCGCGCGGAGCAGCAGCAGCAACTCGGGACGCAACTGCTGACACTGCAGGTACTTGGACTGAACCCCTAGCGCCCGACAGGGGCGGAGCGGAAACGTGGGCGGGGCCGTAGTAGAGCGAGGGGCGGACCCTGAGGCCCAGAGCGGGTCTTGAGGCACTGCGGGTGCATGGTGTGCCCCGACATCTGACAGTTCTTGAATGCTCCCAAAGAAACAGCTGGAAGTGGTGGAGGCCAAGTACGCCACGCAGGCGGAGGACTTATGGCAGGTATGAGAGGAGCCCGCAATTTGGTGGGAGGGTCAGCTTTAGGTGTCCATAGAGCCTGGGCCTGTTCGGAAGGGTGGGAGGGGTGTGTCCTTTCGAGTCTAATTAAGACTGTTGTACCCTAGGGTGCGCAGCGGACCGAGGAGGCCTGGGCCAGCTTCCAGGAGCAGAGTGGAGTCCTTCAGGTGCGGCTCCCTCGGCTCTGAGAGCCAGTCACCTCTGACTCTACTGCGGCCTCCAACCCACCTTTCCCAGACCTGGGGCAGCCAGCACCAGGAGGCTTCCTCCCCCAGCCCTGAATCCTCACTCCCATCCCCTCCAGGAGCTGCAGGGGAAGGTGATGGAGGCGGCGGCTGCGCTGGACACCTCGCGGGGCGGCCCAGAACCGTAAGGGAGTTAGTACGGTTAAATGAGTAGGGGTGGTTGTGGCGCTAAAACAGATTGCCTGTCTCCGTGCCTGTCACCCTCAGGTGGGACTCTCAGCTTCGCCGGGTGCAGGACTGCTCTGGCTCGCTGATGGAGGAGGTGGCCAGGGCCGACTGTGTGAGCGTGGGCCCGGGCTGGTGGGCTGGAGCTGGGACACTCCCGCCACCCCCCTGCCCCTCCGGGAGAGATCTGGCTAGCGCAGTGCCCCTAATCCTGCATTGAGGGACACGGCTCCCTTTTCCTTCAGGAGAAGCGGCTGTTGGGCGGCGCAGGGGCTGGAGGCATCAGGTGAGCCCGGTGAGGGAAGTGGGTTCTCCTTTTGAGTTCCCTCTCCAGCCACCACTCATCTGACCATTTGTCGGTCCACAGGCTGTGGGCGCTCGGTGCGCTGCAGATGTTGCTGTTGCTCCCGCTTGGCTTCCTGGCACTGCCGCTGCTCTATGTGTTGCTGGTGAAGCAGGACGCCATCCACCAGGGCCTCCCGCACCTCAGCTCGGATGCTGCCTTTCGCCGCCTGCGCTACACGCTGTCCCCACTATTGGAGTTGCGCGTGCGCGGGCTGCTGCCTGCTTAGAGCCATCACGCTGGCCGGGGCCGCCTGCACCTTAGTCTCTCGTGTGATTTCTGGGGCGCCTGAGGGGAGATACCCGGGGCATGAGGCTCATGTCCCCCCCACCCACTAGCGACCCACCCTGGCACTTCAGCTCAGAAGACAACGGTTCTACCAGGAGGGCCTGCATCCAGGAAGGAGCTCCGGGAGCCAGGCCTTGGGTTGGCCTTCTCCACAGCCTCAGTTGCTGCACTCACTAGCCAAGTCCGAAGTTGGTCCGCAACTTATTAGTGAATTTGCCTGGGCCTAAGGGATTAGGAGGAGGCGCTGGTCGGTCAGATTTTTTTTTTTTTTTCCATGGAGGTCTGTGATTCCTTTGGATCCACTGCTAGTAGTTATTTAGGTCCCCGTAGCATCCTTTGGTTCTCTCTGGGTAGGAGCCCCATCCTGGTGGCAGTGTTCCTTCCTGTGGCAGCTTTGCTTTCTTTGCCCTGGGCATAGCTACTAGTGCGTACTCAGACTGCCGGTTTCCTGTGGAATTTCTTTTTTATTTGTGAGAAATATTATTAGTGGAAATAAGCCATTTCTATTTTGTCAAGTTTTGTTATTTTAGCAGTGAAATTGTTTAATGTAACTCCTGTACACATATACTTTCTTGCAATAACCTTTAAAAATATTTTCTTGCTGGGCGCAGCGGCTCTGAAGACTGAGGTAGGATTGCAAATTCAAAGCCAGCTTCAGCAAAAGCGAGGTGCTAAGCAACTCAGTGAGACCCTATCTCTAAATAAAATACAAAATAGGGCTGGGGATGTGGCTCAGTGGTCAAGTACCCATGAGTTCAATCCCTAGTACAAAAAAAAAAAAAAAGTTTTTTAATTAATTTGTAGTTATTCTTAAGGCTTTGTTGTTAAATTTGTTGATGGAACCCTATGTTCCAAATTTAAGAATTGTGCTTTGAGTTCTAAGTAACCATTCTTGTCTGGAAATCATAAAGACATTCTCATATTTTCTTCTTTTGTGGGGGGGCGGACAGGGTGTTGTTCTGTTGCCAGGCTGGCCTTGAACTATTGGGTGCTTGATCCACCCTCTTCAGTCTCTGGAGTAGCAGTGACTACAGGTCTGGAGCCACCACACCCTGACTTCTTCTAAATTATTATTTTCTTTTAATTGTAGATGAGAACAATATACCTTTGTTTTACTTTTTAATGTGGTGCTGAGGATTGAACCCAGTGCCTCACACTTGCCAGACAAGTGCTTTAACACTGAGCCACAACCCCAGCCCCTCTTCTAAATATTTTAATGATGTGCTCAGACTGGGATGTTTAAAGTGATTATTGATATAGGTGCATTTATGAGATATTATATTTTTTACTGTTCTTATTTTTAAAAATTTATTTAATTAGGTATATATGACAGCAGAATATATTTTGATTCATTGTATACAATCGCAGCACAACTTTTCATTTCTCTGATTGTACACCATATAGGGTGGCACCATATGTGTAGTCATACATGTACCTAGGGTAATGATGTCCATCTCATTCCACCATCTTTCTTGCCCTCATGCCCCCCCTTCACTCCTCCCTCCCTTTTGCCAAAGTTCCTCCATTTTTCCCATTCCCCCCCTCCTTGTAGGTCAGCATCTACTTATTAGAGAGAACATCCACCCTTTGGTTTTTTGTGATTGGCTTAATTCACTTAGCATGGTATTCTCCAACTCCATCCATTTATCTGAAAATGCCATAATTTTATTCTTTTTTAATGCTGAGTAACACCACAGTTTCTTTATCCATTCATCTATTGAAGGGCATCTAGGTTGCTTCCACAGTTTAGTTATTGTGAATTGAGTTGTGATAAACATTGATGTGGCTGCATACTGATTTAAATCCTTTGGGTGAGGAGTGAGATAGTGGGTCAAATGGTGGTTCCATTTCAAGTTTTCTAAGGAATCTCTATACTGCTTTCCAGATTGGTTGCACCAATTTGCAGTCCCACCAGCAATGTATGAGTGTGCCTTTTCCCCTACATCCTCGCGTACATTTGTTATTTGTATTCTTGATAACTGCCATTCTGATTGGCATGAGATAAATCTTAGAGTAGTTTTGATTCGCATCTTTCTAATTGCTAGAGATGTTGAACATTTCTTTATATAATTTGTTGATTGAATGTATATGTTCTTCTGAGAAGTGTCTGTTCAGCTCCTTAGCCCATTTATTGATTGGGTTGTTTGTTTACTGTTTTTATTTTTGTATTCTGTATTCCACTTTTTTGCCTTTTGTGCTTTTATTTATTTTTTAATTTTTTTTCATTTTTTTTGTATCTTTTTTTGTGTTTTTATTTTTAAAAATATTTTTAATAATTATTTTTTAGTTTTAGGTGGACACAATATCTTTATTTTATATTTATGTGGTGGTGGGGATGGAACCCAGTGCCTCATGCTTGCTAGGCAGGCACTCTACCACTGAGCCACAACCCCAGCCCCATCTTTTGTGCTTTTAATCAAACATTTTTTTTTAAAATATTTATTTCTTTTAGTTATTGGCGGACACAACATCTTTGTTTGTATGTGGTGCTGAGGATCGAACCCGGGCCGCACGCATGCCAGGTGAGCGCGCTACCACTTGAGCCACATCCCCAGCCCTTAATCAAACATTTTATTATTCTGTTCTTCTCCTTACCTAGCATATCAATTATACTTTTAATTAATTAATTTTTGGTATAGGGATTGAACCCTGGGGTACTTTATCACTGAGCTTCATCTCCAGCCTTAAATTTTTTTTTTTTTGAGAGAGAAAGAGAGAGAGAGAGAGAGAGAATTTTTAATATTTATTTTTTTTTAATTTTTGGCGGACACAACATCTTTGTCTGTATGTGGTGCTGAGGATCGAACCCGGGTCACACGCATGCCAGGCGAGCGCGCTACCGCTTGAGCCACATCCCCAGCCCCCAGCCTTAAATTCTTTAAGACTGTTTTTAGTTGTAGATGGACACGATACCTTTATTTTGTTTATTTAGTGTTTTTTTTATGTGGTTCTGGGGATCAAACTCAGTGCCTTGTGCATGCAAGGGAAGCACTCTACCACTGAGCCACAACTCCAGCCCTTATTTTAAATTTTAAGCCAGAGTCTTAATGGATAGTGCAGGCTAGGGTGTAGCTCAGTGGTAGGGCGCTAGCCTAGCAGCTCCAAGACTCTGAGTTCAATCCTCAGAACCACAAAAGACAAAAACTAAAACAATTTAAAAAATCAAAGGTTTGTGCAGATACCCTATGATCGAATAATCTTAATTCCTGTACTCATCCCTTGTATCATTGTTGTCATGTCTTCTACTTTTATGTAAATCATAATTGAACACATTGTTGTACTACTATTATTTTGATCAGGTTCTTATCTATTAGATCGATTAATATGTAAAATAAGCTTCTTTTACTTTCACTTATTCTTTTTTTTTCTTTTTATTTTTTAGTTGTAGTTGGACACAATGTCTTTATTTATTTTTTATGTGGTTCTGAGGACCAAACCCAGCACCTTGAAGTGCTAGGTGAGAGCTGTACTGCTGAACCACAACCACAGCCCCCTTCACTTATTCTTTAATGCTCTTTCTTCTTCCCTCCCCACATCCCAGGGATGCTTTACCACTGAGCTACATTCCCATCCCGTTTTAATTTTTGAGACAGGGTCTTGCTAAAATGTTCAGACTGTTCTTCAACTTTTGATCCTGCTTCGTCTTCCTAAGTCACTGGGATTATAGGCATGCACCATTGTCCCAGCTTCTTCACTTTTGAAGGATAATTTTTCAGGATACATAATTCTAGATTGGTAGGTTTTTCTCCCAACATTTTTTTTAAGTATCAAAGATTTCTTTTTTTTTTAAATTTTTTTTTTAGTTGTTCATAGGCCCTTATTTTATTTATATGTGGTGCTGAGAATCGAACCCAGTGCATCACACATGCCAGGCAAGTGTGCTACTGCTGAGCCATAGCCCCAGCCCCTCTCCCAACATTTTAAACAAGTCACCTCATTCTCTTTTTACTTTCTTTCTTTCTTTTTTTAGTTGGACACAATATATTTTGTTTTTATGTGGTGCTGAGAATTGAACCCAGTGCCTCACGCATGCTAGGCGAGTGTGCCACCACTTGAGCCACATCCCCAGCCCCTCTCTTTTTACTTTCTTGATTTATGAAGAGAAGCTGGATAATTTTTTTTTAAGAGAGAGAGAAAGGGAGGGAGGGAAGGAGGGAGGGGGAGGGAGAATTTTGATATTTATTTATTTTTTAGTTTTCGGTGGACACAACATCTTTTGTTTGTATGTGGTGCTGAGGATCGAACCCAGGCCGCATGCATGCCAGGCGAGCATGCTACCGCTTGAGCCACATCCCCAGCCCAAGAAGCTGGATATAATTCTTATCTTTGCTCCTCTTTAGGTTTTTTTTTTTTTTTTTTTTTTAACTCCTATGGCTTGAGATTTGTCTGTCTTTGATTTCCTTGTGTGAATATATTGCCTAGTTATATTATTTTTGGCATTTATCCAGCATAGTGTTCTCTGAGCATCTTGGATCTGTGGTTTGGTGTTGACAGTAATTTGGGGGGAATCCTACTATTCAAATATTGCTCCTATTCCTTTAATTAAAAAAAATTTTTTTAGTTGTCAATGGACCTTTATTTATATGTGGTACTTAGACTCAAACCCAGTACCTCTCACATGCTGGGCAAATGCTCTACCACTGAGCTAGGACCCTGGCCTTGTTCCTTTCATTCTTAATTCTTCTGGTTGGTATTCCCATTATGAGTATGTGGCATTTATAATTGTCCCATAGTTCTTTTTTTAATATTTATTTTTTAGTTGTAGTTGGACATAATACCTTTGTTTTATTAATTTTTATGTGGTGTTGAGGATCGAACCCAGGACCTTACATGTGCTAGGCGAGTGCTCTACCACTGAGCTACAGCCCCAGCCCTGTCCCATAGTTCTTAAGTATTATGTGTATTTTTGTTGTTGTCGTTGTTTGTTTTTTGTTCCTGGGGATGGAACCTAGGTTTTCCTCATGCTAGATAAGTACTCTTAACATTGAGCTATACCACCAGTCTTTTGATATCCTCAAGCTCAAGATTCTCTCCTCATCCATGTCCAGTCTACAAATAAGCCCATTGAAGGCATTCTTTATTTCTGTTGTTTCTTAGGATTTCCACCTCTGTTTACGTTGGTCATCTGTTCTTGCATGCTGTGTGCATCCACTGAAGCCCTTAGCATCTCTGTTATAGTTATAAATTTTATGTCTAATAATGTGTCATCTCTACTATATTTGACTCTGGTTTTGAGAGTCAAATATATTCTCTTACACTATTTTGTCTTTCCTTGTACCAATAGTCTGAAATGACTTGATTAGTATAGCTTAGTAAGTCATATATAAATACTGAGCCATAATCCCAGCTCTTTTAATATATATATTTTAAAGATAGATAGAGATAGAGATAGATAGATAGATAGATAGAGAGAGAGAGAGAGAGAGAGAGAGAGAGAGAGAATTTTTTAATATTTATTTTTCAGTTTTCGGCGGACACAACATCTTTGTATGTGGTGCTGAGGATCGAACCCAGGCCGCACGTATGCCAAGCGAGCACGCTACCACTTGAGCCACATCCCCAGCCCCTTTTAATATATTTCTAAATTTTTATTTGTCCTAATAAGTCTTGATAGCTAGATTTATTGTTCTTCAATATTGAAATAGCTGTTTTGCCCTTTGTATTCTCATATGTTTTTAATCTGCTTGTCAATTTCTAATATAAAACTTGGAGATTTTGATTGGTATTTTCAGCAAAACACGTCAATCTGAAGAGAATGAACATAACATTAAATCTTCCAATCCATGAACATACCTATTACTGTTTAGCTCTTCTTTCAACATTTAGTTTTTTTCTTATGAATCTTTCATTATTTCTTAGTGTCTGATGGTTTTGGATGCAATCATACCCACAAAATTGTTTTATATATTGACCTGCATCTTAAAAAATTGACTATAGATATTAATTTTGGATTTTTATTTTATTTTTTAGTTATATATAGACACAACAACTTTATCTTATTTATTTTTATGTGGTGCTAAGGATCAAACCCAGTGCCTCACACGTTCTAGGCAAGCACTCTACCACTGAGCCCCAGCCCCAGCCCCTTAATTTTGGATTTTCATGTACATAAATATTATTTCTGGATAAGCTTTATTTCTACCTATCTACTATTTTTTTTTTTTTTTTTTTTAGATGGGGCCTTGCTATGTTGCCTAGTCTGGCCTTGAACTTCTGGGCCCAAGAAATTCTTCTATCTCAGTGTTCTGAGAAGTTGAGACTACAGGTGCATATCACTATGTCTGGCAAAGATTACATATGTATTTTGTTAATTATTCCTTGTCTATATGATACTATAAAAAATTGCAGTAGGCCATAAGACCCTCATTCCAGAAGATTACCACTCCATACCTGGGAGGATGGAATATCAGGCAAAGATCAAAAAGAATGTGGATTGGCCTTACTGGGTTTCTCCCTTCAGTCTGCTATATCACATTTCTACACAGCTGTTCACTCTTCATCTAGTCTTGCATAAATAATTTCCCTTGGATCTTTCCATCTTCAATTCTGAAGTTTCCCATATCAAAGTCTTATTAAACAAATTTCTCAAAAAAAAAAAATTGCAGTGCTGGGATCACTGTACTGAACCCTAGTCTCCCATGTTAAAAAAAAATAAAAAATGAACCCAGGGGTGCTTTACCACTTAGCTAAGTCCCCAGCCCTTTTTATTTTGAGACAGTGCCTCACTTACTTGCTGAGGCTATCTTCAAACTTGCAATCCTCCTTTCAGACTCCTGAGTTGCTGGGATTACAGGTATGAGCCAGCTCACCCAGCTCAGCCCCCAAATTCTTTTTTTTTTTTTTTTAAAGAAAGAGAGAGAGAGAGAGAGAGGAGAGAGAATATTTTTTAGTTTTCGGTGGGCACATCTTTGTATGTGGTGCTAAGGATCGAACCCGGGCCCCACGCATGCAGGCGAGCGCGCTACCGCTTGAGCCACATCCCCAGCCCCCCCCCCGCCCAAATTCTTAACCGATTTCTTTGTATTGCCTAACTGAACTGGTTAGGGGTTTCTATACAAACTTGAAAAAAAGTGGCAACAGCAGGTACTTTTTATGTTTATTTTTTTTTTTGGTGGTGCTGGGGATTGAACCCAGGGCCTTGTGCACACAAGACAGACAAGCACTCTACCAACTGAGCTATATCCCCAGCCCTCACAGGTACATTTATCTCTCTCTCTCTCTTTTTTTTTTTTTTTTTTCATTTTGGGTGCTGGGAATTCAACTCTGAGCCTTGCTTGTTCTAGGTGAGTTCTCTCTACCACTTAGCTACATCTCCAGTCTCTGTGTTTTGAGACAGGAACTCACTAAGTTGCTCAGACTGACCTTAAACTGTGATCCTCCTGCTTCAGCCTTTTGAGTAGCTGGGACTACAGGTGTGTGCCACCACCCCTGGCTTATACCTCAGTTTCATCTAGGGGGCACATCTTTCAACATTTTAACTTTAGCAATTATCAAGAATATAAGTAACAATAAATGTTGGTGAGGATGTGGGGAAAAAGGTGCACCCATACATTGCTGGTGGGACTGCAAATTGGTGCAACCATTCTGGAAAGCAGTATGGAGATTCTTAAAAAAACTAGGATGGAGCCACTATTTGACTCACCTAACCTACTCTTCAGTATACATCCAAAGGATTTAAAATCAACATACTACAGTGATGCAGCCACATCAATGTTTATAGCAGTTCAATTCACAATAGCTAAGCTATTAGAACCAAGCTAGGTGCCCTTCAACAGATGGATGGATAAAGAAAGTGGACACAATGGAGTATTTTACTCAACCATTAAGAAGAATGACTTCATGATATTTGCCAGTAGATGGATGGATCTGGAGACTATTATGCTAAGTGAAATGAGCCAGTCCCCAAAAGCCAAAGGTCAAATATTTTCACTGATATGTGGAAGCTAGGGCTAGCTCAGTTGGTAGCACAAGGCCCTGGATTCAATCCCCAGCACCCCCCCCCCCACGCACACACACCTAAAAACAACCAATAAAAAAAAACAAATTCCACCTTTAAGAGATGGGGATGATGATGTAATCCAGTGACTTAGGAATCTGATGTAGGAGAATACCAGGCCAGTCTCAGTAATTCAGAGAGGCACTCAGCAACTTAGTGAGAAACTGTCTCAAAATATAAAAAGTGCTGGGGGTGTGGCTCAGTGGTTAAGCACCTCTACATTTAATCCTCCATACCAAAAAGAGTTGTGGGGCTGGGGTTGGGGCTCAGTGGTAGAGTGCTTGCCTCGAATGTGCAAGGCCGAGTTCGATCCTTAGCACCACATAAACATAAAGATGATGTGTTCAACTACAACTAAAAAATAAATATTAAAAAAAAAAAAGAGTTGAGGGATACAGCAGTTGTGTAGCATGTGGGAGGCCCTGGGTTTGATCTCACATACACACACAAAAACCTATTAGTCAGCTAATAAGAGTCTTTTTTTTTTCCTAATATTTTTAGTTGTTAGATGGACATAATACCCAATGTGTTGAGGTTCGAACCTAGTACCTCACATGTGCTAGGAAGTGCTCTACCATGGAGCTACAACTCTAGCCCAAGTGGAGTGATTAGTCCATTATTTAATATAATTATTGATATAGCTGGATTTAAGTCTATAATTGTAAGATTTCTCTATATCTCACCGACTTTTTTTTTTTTGTGTGGTACTGGAGATTGAACCCATGGACCCATGGCTTTGCACATCCTAGGCAAGCACTCTTACCATGAAGCTACATCTGCAGCAGCCCAACATGTTATTTTTTGTTCTTTTTCTACCTTCTTTGGGTTAATATATACTTTTGAGACATCTAAGTTGCTAAGACATCATCTTGCTAAATTGCCTAGGATAGGCAAGATCCTTCTACTTCAGTTTCAACCCTAGCCCCTATTTATTTTATGTGGCGCTAAGGACTGAACCCAGTGAGCTACAGGCCCAGCCCTAATTTAATTATTAGCATTTTTTAAAAAATTTCTGGTGCTGGGGATGTAACTCAGGGCTTTGCACATGCTAGGCAAGTGTTCTACCACTGAACAATCTACACTCCAATATTTTTAAAACCTTGTTTTAACTTACACATTAATTTCTTATTTATACTTTTACATATATTGTTCAGGCTTCAACTGCTACCTGAAGCTGAGTATTGATTCTTCATCAACTCTGGCAATTCTAAGTTGATAGGAACTTCTTGTTCACCTTTCTTATTCTTCATGCTGTGGTAATTTCATCATTTTAGTAATTCCATTGCCCTTTCAGGTGATTGGTTTTCTCTTTACCTCTGACCCATTATTAAGCCAATCTTTACTTTTACCCATTATTAAGCCAATCTTTATTTTTCATTTTTAGTAATAGATGGTCACAATGTCTTCATTTATTTTTATGTGGTGCTGATAATTGAACCCAGTGCCTCACACGTGCGAGGCAGGTGCTCTACCACTGAGTTACAGCCCCAGCCCTAGCCAATATTTTGAATGAAAAAAAAATTATTTTCTGGCTTCGATTCTTTTTTTTTCTACCAGAGATTGAACCACACAGTGGTGCTTAGCCACTGAGCCACATCCTCAGCCCTTTTTATTTTGAGACAGGATTTTGTTAAGTTGCTTAAGTCCTTGCTAAGTTGCTGAGGCTGGCTTTGAACTTGGGATCCTCCTGTCCCAACCTCCCAAGCCACTGGGATTTCACTGCACCTGTCTTAGTCTGCTTGCCTGCTTAAGATAGAGAAAATAATGGGTTAGAATAGATAAAGTTATTAGGAGCTAGTCAAGCAACAATTTTGCAGTCCCAGAACACAGCACCTCTAAGAGAGAGATGACAGCAGAAGTGATTGCCCATCATGGGAATGACTAGAGCAAATGCAAATGAATGAAGCTTGCGCTTAGGACAAAAACAAGTGGGGTAACCTCCTTGGCAGTCCTGAGAGAGACAGATGGCTCTGAAGCTGGCAGGAATCAGTTGAGGATAATACAATGTTATTTTTGGCATTTGTGTGAGGCTTAAGCCATAACTGGTGTGTCTGGGCCAGCAACCTGCGAAAGTCCCATGAGGGCAATTCCCGAGCAGGAGGGTCTTTCCCCTCTATAAAGGACACAAGGAGGAAAAGCAGGTAACACTGAGCCTTCCCCCTTCAGAAGCAAAGCTAGGACACACTGATAAACTCATCAGTCAAACCAGGCACAGTGGTGCTCACCTGTAATTTCAGAGACTCAGGAGGCTGAGGCAGGAATATCCTGTTTGAGACCAGCCTCACCAAAACTTTGTAAATAAAAAGGGCTGGGGATGTAGCTCAGTGGTGGAGTGCCCTTAGCTCAATTCCCAGTACTGCAAAAATAAAATTCCAACACAGCATTTTTTTGGGATTTTTATTTTGTTCAATCTTAAGTTGCATATAATTTTTTTATACACAAGAAAATACTTCATGTACCTCATGTACCTATGTAATAAGACAGGTAGGGAATGTATCCAGTGCAAACAAAAGATTCACACCTGTGCACAGACAGCACCATCAGATGATTGTCATCTCAGTCTCTCTGGCATCACCAAGCATTGTCACATGGGGCCATGCCTAAGGAAGGAGCAGTTGCCAGGTTCTAGGGCTTCAGTTCTTTTTCCTATAAAACACGCTGCTGGGTGAAATGGCAGGGCCAACAGTAGCTCACCCATTTTGACCTTAGTGTGGGAGCTTCTTGAGGGACAGCTGGGGGCAGAAATGCTCTCATGCTCCATGATTGTGGGGTGGCTTTTGGGAAGGGCCACACAGGGCAGAGGGCTGGGCTTCGGAGGGCCACTCCTTAATAAGGGATGTCATTCTGATAGTACTGGATCATGTCATAGGTCCGGCTCCTAGAAGGTCAAAGCAAGAGAGTAAAGGGAGGCTATAAGGAGGCTGCTCAGTCAGGGCACCCCCTCACCCCTGGGGAGTCCTCCCTACCTGCTAAACCCTTCTTCCTGCTCAACCCAGCAACTTGGAATGTGTGAATATGCTGGCAGCAGACTCTAAAACAGGCTCAGGTGTACAGATGCCACCACCTCAGCCCCATGGCCTGTCATTCCCTGATTTGGGAGGCATAGTCCTCCCTCTTTCTATTCCCAGCCTGCTCCGCACTCTCAGCACATGCTTGTCTTATTTCACCTTAGATCCTCTTTATTCTGTTCCACAAACTGCTTTCATAGAAATGCCATTTGACAATACTTGGGTGCTCCCAACATCCATCTTGAGCTACCTCCCATTTCTCTGCCGTGTTCTTCAGGCCTCTTTCTTTTTGCCTGTTAGGGCACCAGACCCTGTGGGCTTTCTGGGTGGGTTCTCTACATCTTCCTCTCAGGCTCAACCAGCAGTTTCCTGATTAGATGGCTATACCCTGGTTCTCTGCCTGCTTTGGTATAGAGTGACTCACCATGCAACTAGGCACCCCAGCCTCCTGTCATCCCCATCTTTAAGAGACCCCCCTCTGTGGATTAGCAATCACCTAATTGCTCAAACCACCTTCTCTCTGTTCAGAGTGGACACTTCAAAGTCACCTCTGACTCTCACCCCTCAGCCTGGGCTCTGCCTTTAGCACCTACACCCAACCTCCCATCATGGCTCTCACATCAATATGTGACAATTGTCCCCACCCTGCCCCTTCCATCAGTGCTAACACAGCACCTGCACAAGGTGTCCAAACCATCTGGAGCTCCCTTCCTGCTCCTCTTGGCCCTGTGTGCCTGAAGTTCAACAACCCTATAAGTCCTGCCTTCAACCTCTGCCAGGTGTTCTCCTCAGCATTCCCAAGCCTCCCTGAATCAGCACCCATTACTCCTTGAGAGTTCCCATTACAATCAAGTAATCACAGGTCTCCCCACAAGAGACCTGTGGGAATACAGGCTCATTGTCACCTGATCTAGGCCTGGCCCTGGCCCCCCTGTGACCATGGGCAGGTAGTGACTTGCCTGTTACTGAGGAAGCAGCTCTGGATGACTTTCATGATGAAATTTGCAGCCTCTCGCTCAGTCATGTTGGGGCTAAATCTATGCCTGGGAGAAAGACCAAAGGGTGTTGCTGTTGGCTGCTATAGCTCCCTTCCTAACCCTGCCTCCAGTGTGAAGTGGTTCTGCCTGTGGAATGAATTGTGTCATCTGTGCAAATCTGTTTAGTTGAAGGCCATGCCCTGGATATGTACCCTCTAGAATCCATGTTCCAGAATCTGGGAATAGTGCTGAGGGTATATGTGGCCTAGTATGGGCTTGTCCCTGTCCCTTCAGCTTCTAGGCCTAAGTGGTCCCATGGATGGGGAGGACTAAGCATGGGGCAGCTAAGCTGCTACAGTCCCAGGGCTTAGGGTCAGGTCAGCAACATCGAGAAACTAAAGGATGCCTGCATGTGACCTCATGTGGCCAGCAGAAGCTGGGTTGTTCTGCAAATATGATCTGATGACAGTTTCACCCAGGAACCCTGTCTGCTCTGGAGTTGCAAGGAAATGATAATCACAATTACAATCACATAACAGGATCCCGTGGGTAGAGCCTATGCCAATGGACAACTGTCCCCCAGATGGTCTGTGTGTCTGTTAAGGAACCTACTTCAAGAGCTTGATTGTCTGGCCACGGAAACAGGGCAGACCCGTGTCCAACATGAGAGTGACAAGAGAGACAACTGCGTCCATATAAGGCCTGTGGAGAGATGGGGATTGTAGGGTAGACAAAAGTCAGCCTGAGCAGGTGGCCCTGCCTATAGTCCTGTGGCATGGCTGTCCCCAACAGGTCCCTCTGGATTCCCACTGCACCTTTCCTTCTATGGCAGCCCCTTCACATGCAACTTGCTGCTCCCCAGCTGGCACATCCCTGGACTGGGTTGTTCACACACACCCTAGGATGGTTGAGTGGTCCCACCCTGTCCAGACCATGTGAGGCCTCTAGCCATGGTTTCAAAGATAATCTGATCCTCCCTTGTCCTGCAGGGCAGGAGGTACTGAGGGGTTAGAGTCTAGATGTTATCACACATGTTATGTGGACTTGGCCAAGCGACATACCATGTGAAACCAGACAATACCAGTCTCCAGCATGCAGTTTGTGGGATGGTAGGTGCTCAGGCAATTGTTAAAGGGTAGGTAAGATGCCCTAAGGGGGAAGCCTAAGACTGAGGGGCATTGGCAGGATGTGACTGGAGGTTCAGAGTGAGGAGAGATTGCTAGCAGAGGTGAACAGAGTGGTGACCAGAAGGTAAGGCCTGGGTACCAGGTGCTGCTGGCACCTCTCTCCTCTCCACCTTTGAGGGGCTGTCTATTCTGATGCCCCAGGTCTTACCGCACAGCCAGGTAGCCACGGACACACATCTCCATGAACCATTTGAAGGGAGTAGCCTCCATCTTGCCTCCCATGATCATCACCATCTCATCTGTCAGCTTGATGTCTGGTTCCCAGCCAAGGTTGCCTCCCGGTGAGCTTTCAAACATGAAGCCAAAGTCTGCAAGACCCCAAAGCCACCTGTAACTGGGGCAGATGTGAGGGCAGGTGGGGATGGGGGCAATCTTTTTTTTTTTTTTTAAATAAGCAAGTCATTTAAAAAAATTATAGTTGTAGATGGATGGCATGCCTTTATTTGTTTCATTTTTATGTGGTGTTAAGGATCAAATCAGTGCCTCACACATGCTAGGCAAGTGCTCTGCCGCTGAGCTACAGCCCCAGCCCTGGCAGTCTGTTTTAAGGAGCAGAAATGGACTCAGAAATACCACAACCCACAATCAGGCCATGGGCCAGGTTTTCTTGGGGACAGCCAGGGAGGTATAGGCAGAGGAAGAAGAGAGAGGGAAGAAAGTGAAGGTGGGAGCAGGCTGGAGTAAAGTGAGGCCTGTACTAAGCTTGAACAAGCCTGGTTCCTGACCTGGAGCTCCTGGCTACTTCCCTAGGGTGGCAACTTCCTGGGGCCCAGTTGGGTACCCTCTACAGTATGATGGCTTGGTGGCCAACAGCCTGGATCTCAGAGCTTGACATGTATGCCCCCCGCCCCACCAGCCCTCCCTGATGGGTGGCTCTGGGCATGCTTGCTCTTCTCTGTGGGTGCCCCCTTCCTTCCCTGAAGTCTGAAGGGTGAAAGGAGTGGAGATTATAATTGTGGCCCGGCTGACCAATGTGGATGATGTGGCCCTTCTTGTCCAGCATGATGTTGCCATTGTGTCTGTCCTTGATCTGCAGCAGGAACAATAGGAGGCTGTAGGCGGCCATGCTTCGGATAAAGTTGTAGCGTGCCTGTGTAGAAAGGGCTACAATGGCTCTGGGACCTGTGGGAGCTCTCCCTGATTCTGTACCCAGGACCCAAGCCTGGCTCTCTGGCTCCACCTTGGCAGACCTCAGCAGTAGAAGTGAGCATGGCTGGGTCTGATGTGCAGGACCTCCCACACTCAGAGGTTCATTTTCTGCTGGGGAATTCAGCTCTAGGCTCCTATGATGATGGCCAAGGGAGGTTACAGGTATCCCTAATGAAGGAGGACTCTGAAGATCAGGGGAAGGAAGCAAGCAGGTGCTGATTAACAGGAGAGTGGTGGAGGTGGGATGGGTATAAACAAGCCCTCTGGGGCTGAGGCCCTGCTGGTTACCTGTTGGAAGGCCAGGGTAGACTCATCCCCATACTGGCGTGTGAAGTAGTCATACATGCCAAAGTCTGTCTGGCGTCCTAGCTGGTCTCGAGAAGTGCAGTCAGGGATGCACTCTATCACCCCGCACTAGAAAAGAAAGAAGGAAGGATGGATCTTAAGGCCTGCTAAGTGGAAGGCACTGACAGGTTTTTTGTGGGGCTCCTGTTCAGGTAACTTACCCCAGGGGCAGTAGCCACTACCCGATAGGGAAAAACAAAGAGGTCGAGGCCGACCAGCTGGAAGATGTTCTTGAAAAGGTCAATGATCTGCAGGGCCAACATGTCCTAGGAACCAAGGAGGTATGGGATGCAGTTGGCTGGCCTCTCCTTGGTCCCTGGCCCACTCAGTTCCTAGTGGTCCTTGAGGTTCACATAGGGCAGAAGCCGAGAAGCCAGTAATAGAAGAAGGGAGGCCATAGCTGAGCAGGGCCTTGACTCACTACGTACTCAGGCATGGGTTAGGCATAAGGCCATGAGGCCTGGAGGATACAAATGGGGGGGGCCCTGCTGGCCTCAGGGCATTTCCCTCTGGGTGGGCACTGGAGGTAGAGCAGTTAGGGCAAGAAGGAGAGATCACTGGGTTTGGCACAGCCCTAATTTACTACATGGTACCTGAACCAAATGAGGGGAAGCAAAGATTCACATCTCTGTATGTAAAGCTTGCCTCTTTAGTGTGCCTACAACCTGGGGGAAAAGAGGCATGGCCCTGCTAAGTCAACTCTGTCACCTGCCGGCAGTCATCCCC